AACAAATCCTAGTCCACCCTCCCAGGCACCTAGGCTGTGCTCTCGCTGTCACCGGAAGGGGCACACTGCCAACAACTGCCTGCGAGATACCAGGTGTAATTACTGCTACAAGAAAGGACATAAGGAGGACCAGTGTCGGAAGAAAAAGGAACTTGACAGACAGGGCCACCTGTTTAGAGACCTGTTCTCAGAACAAACCAGCGGGATCTCTGAATTGGTGAACACTCTCACACGTCACCCACTTAGCTACTCCTATCCCAGCCCAGCAGTGGGATTGTGCTTATACAAGACCACAGACCTACATCCCTGCAGCTGCCTCAGTACCCTACCTCTCTCAAGGGCAGGCACCTTACATTCCCTACACACCCACCACCTCAAGCTGACCACTTCATCATGAGGAGCCAGTCTATCAGCATCCTGTCGGCCAACATTAGAGGTTTCATTACTAATGTTGGAGAGCTCACACATAGTTTTGTGAACACTCGACGTCCCGACATGATAGCTGTTTGTTGAAACATTTTTGGATGACAGGACTCCAGAAAATTTTGCAAGAATTGCTGGCTACACCTCATGGATGAGAAGAGACAGGCAAGGGCAAGGAGGAGGTGTTGCTGTGTGCTTCTCTAAAAGTGTTCATGCCCAGCACATTCATGTTGCCACCCCTACACATCTTGAAATGATGTTCTTCAAGCTCTGTATAAACACTAGTACCTCTGTACTAGCATGTGCAATGTACAGACCTCAGTGGCAACATGCAGACCCTATCAACTTCCTAATGGAAAATATTGACTCCCTTCTGCTACAACACAACTGTCAACATATTATAATTGTTGGTGACCTCAACCAGCACCTTATACAGAGGGACTTTGATGGCCTTCTTGCAGTGTTTGACATGAGAAACTTTGTTGATTTCCCTACTCATATCTCTGGCTCCTCCCTTGACCCAGTAGTGAGTGATCTGGCAGAAGGCATAGTCACTTGTCAACCCCTTGGCTACGTTGGATCGTCTGACCACAAGGCTGTTTTTACGACACTTAAGATCCCAACAGAACGAGGTGAGGAGTCCACACACACAACCTGGCTATGGGAAAGAGGTAATTGGCCAGCCCTTTGCTCTGAACTTGCCACCACCGACTGGAATGCTCTTCTCCAAGGGGATGTTGACAACCAAGTGAAAGCCTTCACTGGGCACATCCTTAATCTACAACAAGAACACATTCCTCACCGGCAATATGTGACGAAGCCTACAGATCAGCCTTGGTTTGGCTTTCGTTGTAGAGAGGCTGCTACTGCTAAGTACAAAGCATGGCGAAGGTATAAGAGACATCCTACCACCTATAACAGGAACTTGCACATGCAAGCCTGTAGGCATATGGGTGATGTTCAAAAGTGGGCCATTGCTAAATGGGAGGCGGACACTAAAAGAAAGTTAGCATCAGTAGGGTAGGCTCCAAAACCTGGGGGTCCCTGGTCAAGGACAGACAAGGTTATCTGCCTGATGAACTTATTCCACCTCTAAATCGACAGGATGGGACCACCTCTACTAGTAGTCAAGAGAAGGCAGACCTCTTTGCTGAACACTTTGCTACCAAAATGCAAGTTCCTGATCCAGCAAGGGACCCTCCTTGGCTAGCTGCAAGAACTGTGTCAAACTGTCAGTGGTGACAATAAGGCAGGAGGAGGTGCATTTCCTACTTAAATCGCTTGACCAAGAAAAGGCTGTGGGCCCAGACAAGTTGAGCCCAAGATTGTTGAGAAGATGTGCAGACCAGCTAGCAGCACCTCTAACTCGCATCTTTCAGCACTGCCTAGTACAGTGTAAATGGCCCTCTCTATGGAAAGAGGCAAATGTAGTCCCTGTTCACAAAAAGAAGAGCAGAGCAGAAATCAGCAACTACAGACCAGTGTCACTCCTGTCAATCACTGGTAAGATCCTTGAGACAATAATCTCAAGACAAATGACAGAGTTTTTTGACTACCACTCACTACTTTGTGATCGTCAATACGCTTCAGGAAAGGTTACTCTGCTGCTGATCTGTTGTTAAACCTCTCCACTAAGTGGCACCAGTCACTGATGAATCCAAAGTCAGCTGTGTGGTAGCACTGGACATTGCTGGCACTTTCGACCGGGTGTGGCACCAGGGCCTCTTAGCAAAACTTCAAGCACTGGGAATTGCAGGCTCTACGCTATGTCTCCTCAGTGATTACCTTCATGGTAGATCTCTAAGTGTAGTTCTCAATGGAACGGAATCAGCAAGACATCCTATTGGGCAAGTGTTCCACAAGGAAGCGTGCTGGGTCCATTGTTATGGAATGTCTACTTCAACGACCTTCTTCATCTCATCCCAGAATCACATGCATATGCAGACGACTGTACACTGACATTCACTTATCCAAGAGAAGAAATGCCAGCTGCTCTAAGCTACATCAATCACCAGCTGAGAGCTATATCAGCTTGGGGAAATAGATGGCAAGTAACATTTGCACCTGAGAAAATGCAAATGATGATCATCTCTAGGCACCATGATGGTAATGCTGGTGCAGTAGTAAGGATGAATGGGAGGATGTTGGCACCTGGAGAAGAAGTTGATATCCTTGGGGTGAAATTTGACTCCAAACTAACCATGAAGAACCATGTTGTAAATCTTGCAAACAAGGCAGCCAGGAAGCTTACAGCACTTCGCCGTATCTCCCATCTGCTTGACAATAGGGGTTGCAAGATCCTGTACGAGGCACAAGTATGCTCGCACCTTGAGTATGCTCCACTTTCTTGGTTTGCCTGCCCCCCCTCTCATCTGCGACTGCTTGACAGAGTAAGAACAGAGCAAGACGTCTCATCTCTCGCCTGGACCCATCCTGGATAGATCTGTCATTTCAGCAGAGCCTTCAACATAGGAGGGATGTGGGTGGCCTTACTGTTATGTACAAGGCCAATATTGTCAAAATACCACACTTGGATCCACTTCGAGGACAGCGTGAAACAAGCTTTTATGCCACAAGATGGGCAGAAAGCAGCAACTTCACTCTGGCTGTACCCTTCTCCAGAACATCACTCCATCTGAGATCATACATACCAAGGATGACTCGAGTATGGAACACATTCGTACAGCATAATGATGTCAACGAGATAAAGTCAGTTGATCAAATGAAAATGCTGGCCCACAGATGGCTCCAACTTCATCCTGTTCCCTACTTGTATGTCTCATAACAATAAAAATGCTTTCAATGAGCTGATGTAGGTAACAGCTCTTAGTTTCCAATAAAGTTAGGAATCCTTAACCTGTAAAGAGCTGTCAATAAAGCTAGGGATCCGTAACCTGTCAAACCCTGTGTAAAAAAAAAAAAAAAAAAAAAAAAAAAAAAAGAGAGAGAAGAGAGAGAGAGAGAGAGAGAGAGAGAGAGAGAGAGAGAGAGAGAGAGAGACGAAGAGAGAGAGAAAGAGAGACAGAGACGCGAGAGAGAGAGACGACAGAGAGAGAGACGACAGAGAGACAGAGAGAGAGAGAGACAGAGAGAGAGAGAGAGAGAGACCAGAGACAGAGACAGTGAGACAGAGACAAAGACAGAGACAGACAGACAAGAGAGGGAGAGGTCAACATCTAAACTCTGTTCTAAAACATCCTTAGAACACATTTTTAATGCAGTATATATTTTTCATGAAGAGGTGACTCAAAGATTTAATAATGTATTTATATTAAAATAAATCTGATTTTTCCTCAAAATATTTAATGTGTATTGTTTGTGCATTAAAAATAGTGCTTTAAAGCCTTTTTTTTTATCAGGGTTTAGAGCTGAAATTATCGCACTCCTTGATACTTCTTATAGAGTACGTAGTTCAAAAGGTAATGGAGCCACAGAAAATCTGAAAAGACCTATGGCCATTTCTTCATGAATCGAGTTATTTCCTAATACAGGGAGGACACATAGCTAATTAAGAAGCAGTACAATAGTGAAGAGCCAATATAAACACTGACACAAAATACTTGATAACGTGGCAGTGCATAGATATTAATGTTGATGAGGCTGTCAACAACTACACAAGCTCGTTTAGTAGTACAGACTATTATGATGCACTTGTATTGTCAATGCAAGTCATGTAAAGCATTAAATTGTATGATAAAACAAAGAGCATATATTTTATATACAGTGTATATTAAATTATTCAAAGAAGTCTGCCATTTTGGCTTCTATAATTCAGATTTCAAAAATTCCATGCTAGTATTCTTATTCAATAAAAAGTCAAGTTTGCCTGAATATCAAGTTTTTGGTAAAAAAAATTTACACAGCTCACAGTTTTCACATTAACCCTTAAACTCAAAAGTTTTTAATTATTTTTTTTTTTTACAGAACTGTAGAGCATCAAAAACACACACACAAAAACTTTGTCATTGCAAGTCGATTACTGACACTTGAGTAAATAGCCGACTGCAATTTTAAAATACATTACTATTTGTCTGATACATATGAAACTTAATTTTTTCAATAAATTCTGTGACTCCTGCAAGACGAGAGAAGCACTAGTTAATAATGCAGAAAACCTATTACATTAGGTATTTTAGTTAGTAATAACTTGGGAGAATTTTAGACATCTAGCAAAATTATATTACATACAGTATACAATCTTTTATACTGTACCATAAAATATAAGTTGAAATTTCATTCATATAAGTTTGTTATGCAACAGGTAAGTTTATGACTGGTGTCATGTGAAATATTTTAACTGTACACATGCAAAGGAAAAATAAAGGGCATACATATATGTTATATACTATACAGAACTGTATATACAATAGGGTGGGCCAAAAAAGTATAAGTATTAATTTTTATTTTTCTCAAGGTGGCTCTTGTTATAATTCTTTTGTTTTTCAACATACTGGCCATCTCCCACCAAGGCAGGATGACCCTAAAAAGAAAGAAACACTTTCATCATCATTCACACACAACCATTGTCTTTGCAGAGGTACACCAAACAGCAAATACCCCTCCTGTACAGTGCAGGCATTGTACTTCCCACCTCCAGAACTTAAGTCCGGCTAACTGGTTTCCCTGAATCTCTTCATATATTACCCTGCTTACACAGGAATGTGAACAATACTGTATCACTGTTAAATAAATGCAATTATCTGTCATTAAAAAGTACTGCTATACAATACACATGCTCACTGCCACCCATAAAAGATGGCAGCAATTTTCCCATCCCAGTGAAGTAGTATTGCAGAACATTACAAGAAAATTGCCTTATCAGCATCTGCAACCACTTGCCTAGTCTTCAATCATAATGGATGAATTATATTGCAAAAAACTGATACTTTGTCCAGTTATTTTTTTCACAACCCAAATATGTTTTGGAATGACTGAAATTTTACATGTTTGACATTGTTTTTTACATAGTGGCACATGGGTGCCCTTGATGACAATGCTTTACACACAGTTTACTCCTATAAGAATGAAGGAATGATTAAGTAAAGAGAGTGGCAAGGAAAAAAATGAGCTTACGAGAAAATTTGCAATGAAAAAAATGACAGACGAAAGACAAAGTATGTGGAGAGGAAGAGGGAGGTTAAAAGCATAGTGAGGGAGTAGAAAAACAAAGCCAATAAGAGAATGGGTATGTCTTTATCAGCAAATTTTGCTGAGAATAAGAAACTGTGTTAGAGTGATCAAAAATGTGAGAAAGCTGGAATGATGGAGAGGATATTCTAATAAGTTGTTCACTGTTAGTGATGAGGGAAAGGTGGCGAGTTCATGGATGTTGCAGATGAGGTAGCACTATATAAAAGTGTATATAAATAATTCAGAGAACTGACAGACTGATAAATTAAGACATTTGTGCAACATTTGGGTATCTTTACTGTGGAAACATTACACCAACCAGTTAGTGGCTTCCTCAGTCCAATTCAGAGTGAAGAGGAGGCTGAGATGGATGTGGGGAAAAAGTGTGTGAGGCAGTAGGTAGAATGAAAGGGATTAAAGCAACTGGGATAGATGGACTGAAGGACATGTTAAAAGTATGTGGGGGTATAGTGTTGGAGTGGTTATGTGTTTCTTCAACATATGCATGAAGAGAAGGTAGCCAAGGATTGGCAGAGAGCATGAATAGTTCCCTTGTACAAGGGGAAAAGAAACAAAAGACAATGTAAGAATAAATAAGAGGGATAAGCCTGTTTAGTACACTAGGTAACATTTACAGAATAATAATTTTTTGAAAGTGTTAAAGGTTAAGATAGACAGTAGGATTACAGAGAAGAGAGGATTTAGGAAAGGTAGGGAATGTGTTTACATTAAAGCATGTAATTGAGCAGTACTTACATAAAAGGAGTTGTTTGTTGCATTTATGGATTTAGGAAAGGCATATGACAGAACAGATAAGGAAGCTATATGGAAGTTGTTCCAAATGTATGGAGTAGGAGGTAGGTTACTAAAAAGCAACAGTGAGTATTTATGAAGAGAGCGAGGCTCAGGTTAGGGTATGTAGGAGGAGACGGACTATTTCCCAGTGAAGAGGGACTATTTCCCAGTGAAAGAAGGACTTAGGGATGCATGATGCCACCATGGTTGTTTAACATATATACTATATAGATGGGACTGTAAAAGAAGTAAATGCTAGGGTGTTGGATCTGATACAACGTGCAAGTTATCATAGTTGCTCTTTCCTGATGACAGTTGTTTTGGGGGGATTCTGAAGACAAATTGCAAAGATTGGAGGATGAATCTGGAAGGGTGTGTAAAAGATGGAAAATAAAAGTGAAGGTAGAAAAGAACAAAGGGGTGAGGGGTAACACAATGTCTTGGTACTGACAGACTGAATATCAGATTAGAGGGCAGGAGTATGGAGGATGTGAATGTATTTGAAGTAGACACGTCAGCAGATGGGTCTATGAAAGATGAGGTGAACCATACAATACAGTGGACCCTCGACTAACGCTATTAATCCGTTCCCGAGAGCTCATCGTTAGTCAAAATAATCGTTAGTCAAGTTAATTTTCCCCATAAGAAATAATGGAAATCAAATTAATCCGTGCAAGACACCCAAAAGTATTGAAAAAAAAAAATTTTAACACATGAAATATTAATTTTAATACACACAAACTGAAGAAGACATTCACAGTTACATAACACTTACCTTTATTGAAGATCTGGTGATGATTGATGGGATGGGAAGAGGAGAGTGTGTTGATGGTCTTAGTGTTTAGAAGGGGAATCCCCTTCCATTAGGACTTGAGGTGGCAAGTCCTTTTTCGGGGTTACTTCCCTTCTTTTAATGCCACTAGAACCAGCTTGAGAGTCACTGGACCTCTGTCGCACAACATATCTGCCCATAGAGGCCTGTACCTCCCGTTCCTTTATGACATTCCTAACGTGTTTCACAACATTGTCAGTGTCACCATTAAACACTTGTTCAGGTTTCAGTCCTTCACTGTCTATGTACTCCTTGAATTCCTGCACATATTTTTCAGCTGCTTTTTGGTCCAAACTGGCAGCCTCACCATGCCTTATCACACTATGTATGCCACTACGATTCTTAAATCTCTCAAACCAACCTTTGCTGGCCTTAAATTCACTCACATCACCACTAGTTGCTGGCATTTTTCTAATTAAACCGTCATGCAACTTCCTAGCCTTTTCACATATGATCGCTTGAGAGATGCTATCTCCTGCTATCTGTTTTTCGTTTATCCATACCAATAACAGTCTCTCAACATCTTCTATCACTTGCGATCTCAGTTTCAAAAACATAGTTGCACCTTTGGCAAGAACAGCTTCCTTGATTGCCGTTTTCTTGGCCACAATAGTAGCAGTGGTTGATTGGGGTTTTGTGTACAGCCTGGCCAGCTCGGAGACATGCACTCCACTTTCATACTTAGCAATGATCTCTTTCTTCATATCCATAGTAATTCTCACCCTTTTTGCTGTAGGGTTGGCACTAGAAGCTTTTTTGGGGCCCATGGTGACTTATTTTGCAGGTGCAATCACTAAAAAGGCTGTGATAATATGAAATGTTCCGACTGTATGCTTGGAATCGACTGCTGTGGCTGGCTGGCTTGTAAACACTGGCCAGAAGTGGACGCCTCTCAGACGGAAGGAATAGTGTTGGTCGAGTTTTTTAGCACTAATCGAGGCAAAATTTTTGCGATAAAATGTATTGCTAGTCAGATTTATCGTTAATCGATGCCATCGCTGGTCGAGGGTCCACTGTATGTGAAAGTAAAAGAAGGTGCATGGTGTCGAGACATCTGTGGAAAGAAAGAAAGCAGTTTACCTGTGGAGGCATACGAGGGAATGTACCAGGGTATAGTGGTAGTGACACTTATGGGGTGCAAGGTACAGGTTTTAAAAATTGCAAGAAAGAGGAGTCCAGAAGTAGATGAGATGCCAAGGTTGAGCAATGTGTGAAGTGAATGTAATACAGAGTATCTGGAGTGCAAAAATTAAAAGGCGATGTGATGTCACCGTGGGCATAATTCAGAGAGCTAAAGAGGGGTTTATTGAGGTGGTTTGGGTATGTAGAGTGGATGGAGATGGATAAGTCGACAGTGTACAAATTTGAGGTAGAAGGTAGGAAGGGTAGAGGGTCATCCCAGGAATGGCTGGATAGGAGGGGTAAATGAGGTTTAGAGTTTTAGGGTCTTTAACCCTTTCACTGTCGGTGCTGTAATATTACGGCTTGCAAGCCAGTGTTGGTGCCGTAATATTACGCCAAAATTCTAGCTGCTTCCAATCTTGCAGAAGAAAGCTGGTAGGCCTACATATGAGCAGTCAGTGTGAACAGTATAAAAAAAAAATAATGCAGCACGCAGTGCATAACGAGAAAAAAAAAAAACTCCGACTGCATTTTTGGTTTAAAACACTGACTTTGCGGTGTATTTTTGTATGGGATTTATGGATGTATTCTCATTTTCTTGGTCTCATTTGATAGAATGGAAGATATATTACAGAAATAGAGATGATTCTGAATGGTTTACATAATAAAAGTACCTTGAAACTGAGCTAAAAGTAGTGGAAATATTCAATTTTTGCATCCAATACACGTCAATCGGTGGGTCTAATATGTTTTCACAAATGTGCTGATGTTATTTATACCATTTTTACAATAATGCAGTAGTCTGCATAACAGTAAATCTTCTATTTTTTGTGTGAATAAAAATTCAAAATGGAAAGCAGGTGTAATATAAAAGGGGCCAGGAGACTTGACTAATGAACAGACAAAATGTTATTTTAGTGTTAGGAATATTTGTATTGTTAATTCTGGACCCTGTTTTGAAATTGGCCTTACTTGAACTGTTTATGAAATTGGCCAAATTACCAATTTCTGATCACTTTATTGGGTAGTTGAAATCGGTAAATGGGCAGTTTCTTGTACTCAACCGATAGAACAAATGGAGTTCTAGTAAAACAGCTATAAGTTTGGTTGACTGGAACAGCAGAATTGGCCAAAAATAGGGCTCAAAGCAGACGAAATCGCCGATGCATAAGTATCGCTAACTTTGCGAGAGCGTAATTCCATAAGTTTTCCATCAAATTTTGTACTTTTGGTGTAATTACCACCAGGAAAAGATTCTCTAATCATTTCATAAGGAAATTTTTTTTTTTTTAAATTCTTTGACACTGAGAACAAGTTTGTGAGCAGGGCTCTCGACAGTGAAAGGGTCAACAGGCTTGTGCAAGCATGTTAGGAGTGAATGGAGACAAGCAGTTTTTATGGGACATGTTGCTGGAGTGTGAGCAAGGTAACCTTTATGAAGAGATTCAGGGAAACTTGTTAAGTCAGAGTCGAATCCTGGAGGTGGGAAGGGCAGTGTCTGCAATCTAAAGTAAGGGTGGGGATGCTGCAGTCAGAGAGCAATTTGAATTGTGATGCCAGCACACTTCTGGAAAGACAGTGACAGAATGAATGATGGTGAATGTGTGTTTTTTTTTTTTAGGGTCTCCCTGTCTTGGCAGAAGATGACTGAAAAAAAAAGACACCACCCTTAATATACTGTACAGTGGACCCCCGGTATTCGATGGCATCGGTATCCGATAAATCCAGTATTCGATGCATTTTAACGCAAAAATTTCGCCTCGGTATCCGATCAAAAACCCGGTATTCGATGCGATTCGTACGAGACGTGTCCACGTGTGGCCTGAACTGCCCTGTGTGTGCCAGTGTTTACAAGCCAGGCAGTGTGCGCGCATCTAAGGATACATTCGGTACATTCCATATTATCACTGTTTTTGGTACTTCTTTCTGCAAAATAAGTCACCATGGGCCCCAAGAAAGCTTCTAGTGCCAACCCTGTGGTAAAAAGGGTGAGAATTAGTATGGAAATTAAGAAAGATTTTGAAGGGTTTGGGGCTAACCCTGAGAAGCCTATGCCAGTTGTGGAATCCATTGTGCCTACTTCAAAAATTAAGGAAATGTGTGCAAAGTGGGTTGAACTGCAAACCTTTATGGATGAAAATCACCCAAACACAGCTATTGCAAGCCGTGCTGGTGACTATTACAATGACAATGTTGTGGCCCATTTTAGACAAATCTTAAAGGAACGGGAGGTACAGAGCTCTATGAACAGATTTGTTGTGCGACAGAGGTCCAGTGACTCTCAAGCTGGTTCTAGTGGCATTAAAAGAAGAAGGGAAGTAACCCCGGAAAAGGACTTGCTACCTCAAGTCCTAATGGAAGGGGATTCCCCTTCTAAACAGTAACAACTTCGACACTCTCCCCTCCTCCCATCCCATCAATCATCACCAGATCTTCATTAAAGGTAGGTGTCAATTATTATATTGTTATTATTCTATTGTTATTGTAATTATTCTATTGCATTAAACTTAATATTTCATGTGGTAAATTTTTTTTTTTTCATACTTTTGGGTGTCTTGCACGGATTAATTTGATTTCCATTATTTCTTATGGGGAAAACTGATTCGCTTTTCGATATTTTCGGTATTCGATGAGCTCTCAGGAACGGATTAATATCGAATACTGGGGGTCCACTGTACGTACATAAAAAAAAACATGTTTGAAGTAATATTTTTATTTCACAACTACCAGTCATATATAATACGTACTTCACAAGGAGCAAGAAATAAGTGAAGGGCATATCACATAGTTGACCAACCTCATTAAGAGCCAAGACTGGAAGTACTCTCCTTGCCATGCCAGTCTCACTGCACAGAGGTACATCATCCTTTAATGTCCGTAAGTGAGGCTCCATATCCAGGTACCTGTATGTTACTCTCATGTTATGTATAAAGCTATCATTCAGGTGAATGATAATCTTACATCAGTGATTATTTAACAAAGTGTAAAACACAGCATAACAGATAGCAAAATGCATTTTCTTTGATATTTTAAACACAAATACAGTACAGAACACTGAAAGAAAATTTTGGGTTATGGAGCAATCTTTCTGTACATACAATACCTTGAAGTGAAGTGTACAAAACTATTCCATACATTAGGATTCTGGGAGAAATGCAGCACCCATGCACAAGTTCATATTCAACTTACGTGAATACACACATACTCTACATGAAAGCGGCACTGAAGAAAGGGATTTTTATGCTAACAAAAGCAAACAGGGCTCTGCCAACACAGCTCAGCACTCAGAATCAAACCAGGTACTCAACAATGTAAACAACCAGTGTTTCAGATCGAATTTAAATGTCATGAGCTTGATGGATATTATTTATAAAAATGATGGGCCAGTATAAATAAAAATTGAAGGTTAAAAATAAGTACATGTATAAATATGATACAGCTTTTAAATTGGCCCTAAATGGTTCTAACATTTTAAGATTTATGCTCTATTAGAAGAATTTACAAAGGAACCTGAAGCACTGAATGTAGAAAAATCCTATACAAGCCCCAAATAACCACAATAAAATTTGCAATTTTTTTCAGTTGAGATATAATTACCAGAACAATAGGTCATTGTGAGGAGTGCCTTTAATACCACCAAACAATACCTGTACTCATGGTAGTGGAGCTGCTGGGCATGAAGCTCCACAGGTGGTTTATAAATGTCATCACCAATTAGAGTGACACGAATTCTGCTTCTGAAGGTCCATCGGAATTTTCCCTGTGCAGCACACAATAGTTGCACATGTTAATGACTTACATCTGCTAATAATTTAAAAATCATGTAAATAATTTACATAACTGCTAAAATACAGTATACCAGATACTACAAGCAGACAGAATCTGAAGCACATATTGGATCTCAGTACTGTATACATTTTACTCCAGTTAATGCATTATTCATTCTACCCAGTTTTCAAGCCACCAGTCAACCTAGAAAAACATACTGTATATACATTTTTTTTTTATTTTCTATGGGCTAAGCTATCATATACAGTAATATAATACAGTAATATGTATATTGTATAGTCATAATTTAAGCTATATCACTTCTTAAACAAAACTTACAACACCTTAAGTTCACAACTGTTAAAAAACTAAAGTCTTGAATACTTCCTTTTGTTCATGCAGTGATGAGCACACTAGATGATTTACATTTAGTACAGTACGTATGTGTTTTTTTTTTTTTTTAACAAGTCGGCCGTCTCCCACCGAGGCAGGGCGACCCAAAAAGAAAGAAAATCTCCAAAAAGAAAATACTTTCATCATTATTCAACACTTTCACCTCACACATAATCACTGTTGTTGCAGAGGTGCTCAGTATACAACAGTTTAGAAGCATATACGTATAAAAATACACAACATATCCCTCCAAACTGCTAATATTCCAAACCCCTCCTTTAAAGTGCAGGCATTGTACCTCCCATTTCCAGGACTCAAGTCCAGCTACATAAAAATAACCAGTTTTCCTGAATCCCTTCACTAAATATTACCCTGCTCACACTCCAACAGATCGTCAGGTCCCAAATACCATTCGTCTCCATTCACTCCTATCTAACGTGCTCATGCACGCTTCCTGGAAGTCCGAGCCCCTCGCCCACAAAACCTCCTTTACCCCTTCCCTCCAACCTTTTCGAGGACGACCCCTACCCCGCCTTCCTTCCCCTACAGATTTATACGCTCTCCATGTCATTCTACTTTGATCCATTCAGTCAGCCCTCCTGGCCCTATATCACTCTCTTATTTACCCCTATCTCACCTATGGAATTTGTGCATGGGGCTCAACAACAATTAACCATCTCAGACCACTAATTACCCAACAAAAGGCTGCAGTTAGAATGATAACAAATTCTCATTACAGGCAGCACACTCCACCAATATTCAATACACTAAACCTACTCACCATACAAAACATCCATACTTATTACTGCACCTATTACATACATAGAACACTTAACTCTGATATTAACCCTCCCCTCAAACATCTCCTTGCCAACCTCAACAGAACACATGACCATAACACAAGGCACAGATCACTCTTTGATGTTCCTCGTGTCCATCTCACGCTATGCAAAAACTCAATGCACATAAAAGGCCCTAAAATCTGGAATTCATTACCTGTAAATATAAAAGAAACACAACCTGTTTATAAATTCAAGTCTCTTCTCAAAGATTACTTACTCACCCAAAACCAAATAAATACTGAATAACTGAACATTATAAATTGTATATCTTAAATGTTTCTCACAATTATATCACATAAATGTTAAACCTAAAACCCAATCCAACTTTATTATTTTTTAAATACACTACCTAACAGAATCACTACCTAACTGAATGCAACCATATGACCTGTCTTTGTAATACTCACTTGTGCTTTATAGTTATCTGTTTACATTAATGTTTTATCACTGATTTCATCATTGCTTAGTAGCAGCGCTGTATAGTCCTTGTGGCTTAGCGCTTCTTTTTGATTATAATAATAATAATAATCATTGCTTAGTTAATCTTAAGTTAATTTTAAGCCAGCCCGTAATGCTATGCATAGTATAAGTGGCTTTGGCATACTGCTCTTATCTGTATTTTTTTGTACCTCTGTATGTGTGCACAAATTGGAAATAAATAAATAAATAAATAAATAAATAAATAAATGACCAAACCACCTCAACAACCCCTCTTCAGCCCTCTGACTAATACTTTTATCAACTCCACACCTCCTAATTTTCACACTCCGAATTTTCTGCATAATACATACTTACACCACACATTGCCCTTAGACAGGACCTCTCCACTGCCTCCAACCATCTCCTCGCTGCAGCATTTACAACTCAAGCTTCACACCCATATAAGTGTTGGTACCACTATACTTTCATACATTCCCTTCTTTGCCTCCATAGATAATGCTTTTTGTCTCCACATATACCTCAACACACCACTCACCTTTTTTCTTCATCAATTCTATGATTAACCTCATGCTTCATAAAACCATCCGCTGACACGTCAACTCCCAAATATCTGAAAACATTCACTTCTTCCATACTCCTCTCCAATTTGATATCCAATTTTTCTTTATCTAAATTATTTGATACCCTCATCACCTTACTCTTTTCTATGTTCACTTTCAACTTTCTACCTTTTTGCTTATGGTAATTAAATTCAACATCTCACAAATTCCTTTGAGCCTTTCTTAAAAACTTTGTAAATGAAATAAATGCATTAAAGGTACCCCAAAAAAGTAAAATAAAATCTATTTTTCCTTTCATTCTATGAATTAGAGTATACGATATTCAGCTGCAACTAGTTTTCCTCTAAGAAAAAGGTTTCCCAGCCAACTCTCCTATTAAAAAAATGGAGTTCTGTGACAGAGATAATTATGTAGAAGAAAGCTTCCTCATTCTTTAGTGTGTAGATCTAATTGTACAACTACATTTTACATTTAAAAATTTAGATTTAAATTAGTAAAAGATGAAAATACAGTGGAACCTCGGTTTTTGTTTACCCTAGTTTGTACGTAAAACTATAGTTATTCTCTATAAAATGTATTTTTTATTAATATTTCCCATAAGAAATAATGTAAATCCAATTAATCCATTCTAGACACCCCCCCCCCAAAAAAAAAAAAAATTATAGAGAATAACTATAGTTACACGTACATACAAACTAGGGCATACAAAAGCCGAGGTTTCACTGTAGTGCATACCTCAAAGTGTGTTCCTATGTAATCCCCCTTTCTAAACCAACTGAATAAAATACTGTCATTTTTTACTAAAGCCTATTATATTACACTGAACCCTCGACTCAACAGACTAATAGGGAGGAGGGGGGGGATGTCCCTTAAATTTAGCCGATTGTACATTAAATCTGAATTACTAGGATACTTTCCACAATCTTCATAGAAACTGACAATTCTTGGATTTAACAAAATTAGTCCATTAAATCTGCAACAACCAATAATTCTGAATTTAAAGGGAGTTTTATCCATTAAATCCAGAAATGACTTAAAATAATGACAACTCTGTTTTAACAATATGTGTTAAATCCAAAATGAATATACCAAGCAGTAAAAGGTAATTCTGGATTTAATGGAATGTTGTCCAGCCATATATTGTGATGGATACTCAAAATCCATTAAATCAGGGTCAGCAACATATACATATACACCTAGCAACATCTTAGACATACTAGTAGAAGTAGAACATTACAGAAATCTAAAACCAAGTTTATTCATTTCATATTTATCATTCCTCCTGATACAAAGAAACTGAATCCAATAATAATAAACACTTGCCTTCAACAGCTTGTCAAGAGCCTCTTTGACATCAACAGAATATTTTTGTGGGAGACACAATTGTCCTTTTGATCTTGTTGGATCAGAGTTAAACCCAATAAGAGGTTTGTTTCTGTCTAAAATTTTGGAAGCTGCGAGTAAGTATGTCCCATCACCACCTGTTGTTACGATAACATCAGCCCAATTAATATTGGGATCGGAGTAGTCAAACCGATATACAGTTCTTGTCTCAATGCCAGCAGCAGTGAAGACACTGTTAACCGTATTCTCGACACCCTAAAAAAAAGAAGTTGTAAACTACAATCTAAGCTACTACTAACCTCATCAATATGTATTTTATTCATAAATTTAATCACATCACACAGTCAATTGTATTTTCTAAATGCCTGAACAGTCTCATTACAATTAATACTGTACATTAATTTTTAACAATACAAATGAAATACAATACACTAACCTAAACAGACAAGCTATGTCATAACTACCTTATACATCATTACCTACAAATTAGCTGCAACATTTTTTCTGACACTATTTGGGAAGGTTTACTGAAACAAACATATACTTATCAATACTGTACTGTATCATCTGAAACTAACCTTATGAATGTAATGATGATACAAAAGTATATTATAGTCTGAACCTCTTGTTTGGAGACATTTTTCTAGTTGACGCTCAGTCAGTTCTGGGTGACGACGCTTCTCAAATTCATATCTTGAAAGCTTTGTTAGAATGAGCACTCTCTGTGGTTTAAAATATCCTGCCTCCAGGTGTGAGGGAGAGACTGTAGCATAGTTCCTTTTACAGCCACATATTGCTCCTTTAAAAATGAAAACAAAACAAAACTGTTAATCGATTACTAAAGTACAGTAACTAAGATATGTGGGAAAAGCTTCATACTGTAAGATTACTGTGATAATCAAACCAAGAAAACTTTATACCATAATTGTATGAAAAACTGGTGATGGATATTGATAAGTGGTTTAAAAAGACAAGTGAGCAAAAGTGAACAAGGTCCCAGGACCAAAACTCAATATATATGACCTAGTGTTGGCTCAAGTGTCTTGTCTCACTATATCCTAACATACAATGTAACGTGTAAGGTCCACAAGTAAATGTTATGCATTTAAACATTTGCAATCCCATCATGGGGAGTATCTTAATGTTGGAGAGGCTCTTGATCTATGGAAATAAACACACTTTTCTTTACTTAAATTGCCTACCATTTCCTAGGCATAAAATAACTCCTATGGGTTTAATGCTTCTCCCATGAATACAGTAATATACATCTGCAATAAACTCAGTATTGTTGTATGTATAAAATGATGGTAGATTATTTAGATTACAGTAATATACATCTGCAATAAACTCAGTACATGTATTGTTGTATGTATAAAATGATCGTAGATTATTTAGATTACTTTAAGATAACCCACAAAATGTCAAACAGTGTGATTTGAAAACAAAGGATATACAGGCATACACACACCACCAGTGATGGAGAGGGTATTTACATGGGTACACTGACCTACACCCACCACCAATGATGGAGAGGGGTATATGGATGGGTACACTGACCTACACCAATCACTAGTGATGGGGAGGGTATATACATGGAAAACACTGACCTACACCCACCACCAGTGATGGAGAGGGGTATATGGATGGGTACACTGACCTACACCAATCACTAGTGATGGAGAGGGTATATACATGGATACACTGACCTACACCCACCACCAGTGATGGAGAGGAGTATATAGATGGGTACACTGACCTACACCAACCACTAGTGATGGAGAGGGTATAGGTCAATGTATTCATGTATATACTCACCAGTGATGGAGAGTGTATATACATTAGTACACTGACCTACACCCACCACCAGTAATGGAGAGGGTATTTACATGACTACACTGACCTACACCCGCCACCAGTGATGAAGAGGGCATATACATGGAAACACTGACCTACAAAGAACTTTCATGGCACACATAAGTACGATAAGGCACCTAAATTACTGGGAACAGTTGAAGGCCCTTGATCTGGATTCCCTGGAGTGCAGGCGAGAGAGCTACATGATAATATACAATTGGAAAAATCCTAGAGGGATTAGTACCAAAGTTGCACACGAAAATCACTCCCTATGAAAGCAAAAAACTCGGCAGGAGATGCAACATTCCCCCAACGAAAAGCAGGGGCACCACGAGTACACAGAGACAGCACAATAAGTGTCAGGGGCCCAAGACTGTTCAACTGCCTCCCAGCAAACATAAGGGGGATTACTAATAAGCCCCTGGCTGTCTTCAAGAAGGCACTGGACAGGCACCTACAGTCAGTACCTGACCTGCTGGGCTGTGGTTCATACTTCAATTTGCGTGTGGCCAGCAATAACAGCCTGGTTGATCAGACTGATCCACCATGAGGACTGGTCTCAGACCGAGCCACGGGGCGTTGACCCTAAAACCCTCTCCAGGTAACTACACCCACCATCAGTGATGGAGAGGGTATAGGTCAATGTACTCATGCATACAGTGATAAAGACGAGTATACTGACCTACACCAACCACCAGTGATGGAGAGGGGTATATACATGAGTACACTGCCCTATGCCCACCACCAGTGATGGAGAGGCTTGGCCTACACCAACCACCAGTGATGGAGAGGGTATATACACGAGTACACTGACCTACACCAACCACCAGTGATGGAGAGGGTATATACACGAGTACACTGACCTACACCAATCACCAGTGATGGAGGGTATATACACGAGTACACTGACCTACACCAACCACCAGTGATGGAGGATATATACACGGGTACACTGACCTACACCAACCACCAGTGATGGAGGGTATATACACGGGTACACTGACCTACACCAACCACCAGTGATGGAGGGTATATACACGGGTACACTGACCTACACCATTATTATTATAATCAAGGGGAAGCGCTAAACCCGGAGGATTATACAGCGCCTGGGGGGGGGGATGTGGAAGGCATTCAGGCTTAATTCGGGGAACTGGAGCACAGATCCAATTCCCTAAATCAAGAGCCCCTCACTAACATCAAGGAACCTTCCTTGAGGGGGTGATCTACACCAACCACCAGTGATGGAGGATATATACACGGGTACACTGACCTACACCAACCACCAGTGATGGAGGGTATATACACGGGTACACTGACCTACACCAACCACCAGTGATGGAGAGGGTATATACACGAGTACATTGACCTACACCAACCAGCAGTGATGGAGGGTATATACACGGGTACACTGACCTACACCAACCACCAGTGATGGAGGGTATATACACGGGTACACTGACCTACACCAACCACCAGTGATGGAGAGGGTATATACACGAGTACATTGACCTACACCAACCACCAGTGATGGAGGATATATACACGGGTACACTGACCTACACCAACCACCAGTGATGGAGGGTATATACACGGGTACACTGACCTACACCAACCACCAGTGATGGAGAGGGTATATACACGAGTACATTGACCTACACCAACCACCAGTGATGGAGGATATATACACGGGTACACTGACCTACACCAACCACCAGTGATGGAGAGGGTACATACACGAGTACATTGACCTACACCAACCAGCAGTGATGGAGGGTATATACACGGGTACACTGACCTACACCAACCACCAGTGATGGAGGGTATATACACGGGTACACTGACCTACACCAACCACCAGTGATGGAGAGGGTATATACACGAGTACACTGACCTACACCAACCACCAGTGATGGAGAGGGTATATACACGAGTACATTGACCTACACCAACCACCAGTGATGGAGGGTATATACACGGGTACACTGACCTATATACCCTCACATATAAAGTTTAGAGTAATAAGTAATCACCAAAGTGAGACAGTGACCACTCACCAGTTTTAAGAAGACTAGTGACCTTGCAAGTGAAGAAACTCATAATGACCGAGTTGTTGTTGTTCTTCTGTTGGGTTTCAGGGCCACTGACAGCATACGCCGTATCGAGCCCGGCCGTCCAGTGCTAGCAGAGGGGATATCGACCAAAGTGGAAATGTCTTGACTAATAACTATGTATCATATGTCTGATTATTATTATTATAATCAAGGGGGAAGCGCTAAACCCGGAGGATTATGTAGCGCCTGGGGGGGATGTGGAAGGCATTCAGGCTTAATTCGGGGAACTGGAGCACAGATCCAATTCCCTAAATCAAGAGCCCCTCACCAACATCAAGGAACAATCCTTGAGGGGACATATGTCTCTGATACGCCCTGAAGCCAGCAGGAAGGAGTAGGTACAGGCCAATATCTCCTGACGGTCCTATAATGACCGAGTGTTACCCGCAGCTGGCTACTTGCTGTCGTCACTTCTTAACAACCTTTACCCACCACTACCATCAACATGGCTCACTTTCCCTTAACTCTCACTACTAAATCAGTCAGTTTATTTATGTACAGTTGTACACGAGTCGGGTAAGCAGGTTTATTTAGACACAGGTATACGTAAGTGCAATTATCATACATAGTGTAAATTACCTAGGATAAATCCCTCCGAAAATGTCAGTCAGTGACTTTTTAAACTTTAACTTGTAAGTCGGTTTGTTTAGGTACTTACATAGTATCTCTCACTTGTAAATAAGAAAATCAGTGTATTTAGCTACAGTTTTACATTTTTTTTAGGGGGATGATTACAGTTTTCTGATATTAATATATACGTACATTATCTAGGCTATTCCCGCCAAAAAAGTCAAACGGCTTATTCTCATTGAGATCTCTGAATAAATTTTTCAAGCTTTAACAATTATAGCATGTTTTCACTTTAATTTCTATGTTTAATACATCATATAAACATTATTTTGAAGGATACAAAACTATATTTGTCATCATCAATTCTAACACACTCATCAAATACAATGTATGTTTTTTTTTTTTTTTTCAAATACACTACCTGAATGAACAACAATGCATGCAACCATATGACCTGTCTTTGTAATGCTCGTTTGTATTTTATAGTTATCTGTTTACAATAATGTCTTATCACTGATTTCATCATTGCTTAGTTAATCTTAAGTTAATTTTAAGCCAGCCCGTAATGCTATGCATAGTATAAGTGGCTTTGGCATGCTGCTCTTATCTGTATTTTTTTGTACCTCTGTATGTATGCTAAAATTTATAAATAAATAAATAAATAAATAAAATATTTGCATTATTATCACTGTCATAATTTTAACTAATGTAACATTAAGACAGAAATCAATTACCCTCATGACTTCCTCTCCAGAAAAAAATGTGTTGTGCCACTGTACTGTTTTTGTAGTGTGTATTGTTTTTGCAATGTTTTTGTAGTGCCTTTGTAGTATTTTTGTAATGTTTCTGTAGCGTTTTTGTAGTGTAGATCAGAACCCGCAGTCGCAGATTTATTCCTTGCTTCAAAACCACTCGTTACCGTGGGTGCATTGATTTGTGTACTGCTAGTCAGACTGGTATCCAGACGGGAGGAGAATGAAATTACTGGTATTAGTAGTATGTCAGCTAGGCCTGTATACCTCGTACATGTACTTGTAGAAACAAAGGCATCCTCCAGAAGAGCTCCTGGTACCGCCAGTCTCCAAGCGGACAATAACCAAATCTTTAAATGGGCGGCAAAAAACGTTATGAAGTTCAATGAAGATAAATTTCAATTACTCCTATATCGAAAACTCGAGGAAATTAAAACTGAATCGGAGTATAACACAAATTCCAACCACACAATATAGCATAAAACTAATGTGAAGGACCTGGGAGTGATAATGTCACAGGATCTCACTTTCAAAGATCACAACAATGTATCTACCACAAGTCCACAACTGCTTGGAAAATGATAGGATGAATAATGAGAGCCTTCAAAACTAGGGATGTGAAGCCCATAATGATCATCTTCAAATTGCTTCTTCTCTCTAGGCTGGAATATTGCTGTATACTAACGTCCTCTTTCAAGGCAGGTGAAATTGCAGACCTTGAGAATATACAGAGAACTTTCACTGTATATCCTTTCAGATATACTGGCCCCTTTCAGCAGCTGTGGTTCTTCGACTTCGCCTGTATAGGGAGCGTCTCTCTCTAGCCAACATCTCTTCTTTTCTCTTAAAGGAATGTGCCATGAGCATACCTCAATTGCCACAGAGTTAATTCTTTCTAGGCAAAGGTTCGGATCCGTGTTGTTTAGGATATCGTCCCAGCTTGTTTAATTTAGGATATTGTTGATTTCATCCCACTCTATGTTTTTGTTACTGAAGACGAATTTGGTGAAGGCTCCCTCATAACTGTTCACCTTATACTGGTCAGGAGCCCTGCGCATGCATGTACCTCTATTATGTTGTGATCTGAGTGTATTGTCTTTGATACTGTTATATTTTGTATCAGATCATCATTATAAATGAAGAAGAGGTCCAGTGTATTTTCCAGTCTTGTTGGCTCCACTGTCTGTTAGTTTAAGGAGAAGTTGTTGCAGAAATTAATATCTCATATGGTGAATTTTTGTCTGAGCTGCCGCCTGGGGTTATCTCTGCTAAAACATTAGTTGTTACATTCCTCCATTTTAGATGTCTTAAGTTGAAATCCCCCAGCAGCAAGATGTTTGGGGCAGGAGTTGGGAGATTTTTAAGACGGTCAATTTTCAAAAGCTGTTCCTGGAATTGTTGGGAAGTTGCATCAGGAGGCTCGTATACAACCGTAATGATAAGGTTTTGGTTTTCAACCTTTACTGCCAGTACTTCAACTACACTGAGTGTATATTTCTCCAGTGTACGTATACTGAGCGGTGTGTATTAGTGTATGTATACTTAGAGGTGTGTATTCCTCAGCGTGGAGACTACAGCCTGGGTATTTTCAGTGTAGACACTATATACCAAGTCATATGTTATAGTGTATAGTCTATACATTGCAAAGTGCATTTTTCAAGACATTGTTCAACAATTCCATTGACTTTCAATCTCCTTAAAGTATTAATAAATGTCATCCAAGATTATAACATTTGTGCATGTTGCAGAAATATTATTAATATTAAAGAGTAACACAAGAGAGGTAATCAGTGTCATGAAATCTTGCAGTGCTCAGCCTCTTGACAAACAAGTTGACCATTAACTGCTGATGAGGTGTGAGGGTGCACTGTTGTGAGCGTGCACCGTGCATAAGACGCTTTTATTGCTTCTGCAAAATGTCTTTTATTTGATATTGCAGCCTACACGACATTCAACGTTGCTCTCTCGCGTGCGCCATTATACATACTTGAATCACACTCTTTACCCTAGGAAACGTAGCTTCAATAACGTGACTGGAACAATACACAAATAACCCCCAAATAGGAGATAAAAGCTTAGGACGACGTTTTGGTCCAACTTGGCCCATTTACAAAGACACACTAGCTTGTAAATAGTCCAAATCGGACCGAAACGTCGTCACAAGCTTCTGGCTTCTATATGCGTATACATCTCTCCTCCTTTCATCAAGATGATGTACTCAGACTTCATAATCTTTGCATGATATGCCAGCCAAAATGGTACTCCCAGAGTAACAGTAACTCCAGACCTGCAGGAAGGAAGCCTTGGAAGATGCCGTAGCTGATCAACTTTTAGTGGAATGATTGACCATATCCTCAGTACACTGCTGATCACGACCCCAGTGGAAATAAGTCAAGGTTCCAACAGAAATACGTCACTTTATCTAACTTTTTTGGGTTACCCTAGGTAATCTACACATATGCTGCTATGTATGATAATTTATGTAACTGTATTTATGAGTACCTGTACTTGAATAAACTTGCTCACAGGGTGACAGATTTCATTATGCGTGATAACTCATCTTACGTGATACATTATGACAGGAAAACCATGTTTATGTTGTGGTATGACAGGAAATTACAATGTGTGACGGAATGTTGACGGGGAAAAAACATGCTGTGTGATGGAGTGTCACAGGGAAATCATCCTATGTGACGGAGCATGACGGGGAAACCATCCTGTGTGATGGAGTATGACAGGGAAACCATCCTGTGTGATGGAGTATGACAGGGAAACCATCCCGTGTGATGGAGTATGACAGGGAAACCATCCTGAGTGATGGAGTATGACAGGGAAACCATCCCGTGTGATGGAGTATGACAGGGAAACCATCCTATGTAACGGAGTATGACAGGGAAACCATCCTATGTGACGGAGCATGACAGGGAAACCATCCTATGTGACGGAGCATGACGGGGAAACCATCCTATGTGACGGAGCATGACGGGGAAACCATCCTATGTGACGGAGCATGACGGGGAAACCATCCTATGTGACGGAGCTGACGGGGGGGAAACCATCCTATGTGACGGAGCATGACGGGGAAACCATCCTATGTGACGGAGCATGACGGGGAAACCATCCTATGTGATGGAGTATGACAGGGAAACCATCCTGTGTGATGGAGTATGACAGGGGAACCATCTGTGATGGAGTATGACAGGGAACCATCCTGTGTGATGGAGTATGACAGGGAACCATCCTGTGTGATGGAGTATGACAGGGGAACCATCCTGTGTTATGGAGTATGACAGGGGAACCATCCTGTGTTATGGAGTATGACAGGGGAACCATCCTGTGTGATGGAGTATGACAGGGGAACCTTTCCCGTGTGATGGAGTATGACAGGGGAACCCTCCTGTGTTATGGAGTATGACAGGGGGAAACCTCCTGTGTGATGGAGTATGACAGGGGAACCATCCTGTGTGATGGAGTATGACAGGGGAACCATCCTGTGTGATGGAGTATGACAGGGAAACCATCCTGTGTGATGGAGTATGACAGGGAAACCATCCTGTGTGATGGAGTATGACAGGGAAACCATCCTATGTGACGAAGTATGACAGGGGAACCATCCTGTGTGATGGAGTATGACAGGGTAACCATCCTGTGTGATGGAGTATGACAGGGAAACCATCCTGTGATGGAGTATGACAGGGAAACCATCCTGTGATGGAGTATGACAGGGAAACCATCCTGTGTGATGGAGTATGACAGGGAAACCATCCTGTGATGGAGTATGACAGGGAAACCATCCTGTGTGATGGAGTATGACAGGGAAACCATCCTGTGATGGAGTATGACAGGGAAACCATCCTGTGTTATGGAGTATGACAGGGAAACCATCCTGTGTGATGGAGTATGACAGGGAAACCATCCTGTGATGGAGTATGACAGGGTAAAACCATCCTGTGTGATGGAGTATGACAGGGAAACCATCCTGTGATGGAGTATGACAGGGAAACCATCCTGTGTGATGGAGTATGACAGGGAAACCATCCTGTGATGGAGTATGACAGGG